GTTATTCAATCTTAGTTGTTCTTAAGACTAGTATTAATAGAAGGATGATTCTTGATACAAGGTTTAATATGAGTACTAGACTTGTATTAATGTTTATAGAGATGAAGAAGGTCGTTTAGCATCTGAATGATCTTTGAACTAAGCTTTTGACAGAAATTGATTGTCTATGTGTCTATGATCAAATCCATAACCAACGATTGAATTGTCTTTGAACCGACGTTTCATTAATTGATTCTTATTAACGATTTGATAATATGCTTTTGTGACAAACAAACCCCCCTTTCATTTACATATTATTGCACTTGTTACCAGTTAAGTTAATTCATTTCTTTGTGGTATTGACCCTTGCTTGTCATTGCTATATTTGTAGTGTAGAGGTAAGAAATTAATTTTGGTTGTGAACGGCGCACACCATCTGACCATGAAGCTTTGAAGTATCTAAGAAGTCAGAAGCGAATTACTTCCGACATGCATGCCCGGTGGTGTATGTTTCTTCAGAAGTTTCCTTTTCGTCTAGTGCATAAATCGGGGGTGCAAAATAAGGTGGCAGATGCTTTGAGTTGCCGTGTATTGTTACTCGTTACTCTTAGTAATGAAATAATTGGCTTTGAGTACTTGAAGGAGTTGTAAGAGCATGATCCTAATTTTTTTGAGATTTGGCGACAGTGTGTTTATGGAGTGCCTGTGTTGGGATTCTACTTGCAAGATGGATTTTTGATGCGTGAGAATCAATTGTGTATTCCAGTTTCATCCTTACGAGAGAAGGTAATTCGTGACTTACATGGCAACAGACTTGCTGGACATTTGGGACGCGATAAAACATTATCTGCTGTCAAGCAACGATATTATTGGCTCAAGTTGCGACGTGATGTTGAGAAACTTGTGGGGCAGTGTTATGTGTGTCAAATGGGTAAAGGGCAGTCCTCCAACGATGGCCCTTATACGCCTTTACTGGTTCCTGAAAATATTTGGGAAAATTTGTTGATGAATTTTGTGATTACCTTACCGAGAACTACTAGGGGTGCTGATTCGGTGTTTGTGGTTGTTGACTGGTTTTTCAAAATGGCGCATTTTATACCTTGCAAGAAGACTTCTGATGCTCCTAGGGTGGCAAAGTTATTCTTTTGGGAGGTAGTCAGATTGCATGGTGTGCCCAAAACCATCACTTTTGATCGCGACACAAAATTTTTGAGTTACTTTTGGAAGACCTTACGGAAGTTATTCGTTTCTTCTTTGCACTTTAGCAGTACATAAGAACTGTCCTCGTCATACATAGTGCGGTAGGGAAGTCTCCTTCTCTCTATTGTTTATACGAACTGTCCTCGTCATACTCTTGATTTGGTCAATTTGCCTAAGGGGCCTAGCGTGAGCGCAGCAACAACCAACATGGTGAATGAGGTTCAAGCTATGCATACAGAGGTGAAGCAGAAGATTGAAAAGGCTAATACACGTTACAAGTCACTTGCTGACAAACATCACCGAAAGCCGACTTTTGAGGCAGGGAATCAAGTGACGGTGTACCTGCGCAAGGAGCGGTTTCCTGTTGGTACTTACGGCAAGTTGCAGCAAAAGAAATATAGTCCATATACCATTTTGCTGAAGATCAATGATAATGCTTATGTGGTGGACTTGTCTGCCAATATGGAAATTTCGTGAACATTTAATGTGGATGATCTTTATCCCTTCCATGCTGCTGATGGTCCGATGTATGCAGACCCGTTGTCGCGTCTAGTGACAACTTAGAGGCGAGTTTTCTGCCGTCATATAATATAACAAATCGAAACTTATGCCTAGCCTTACCAGACTCATCGCCTTCAGCCATGATGGACATCGTTAAAAACCCAAAAAAGGCCTGAAAATATGTGTTTGAGCCTTCCAAAGTTTTTCCAATTTGGGTTTATTTGAATTATTTCATAATTAATTATTCCTTACATAATTAGGATTTCCAGTTTATTACTTAGTATTTAAAGGATGTTTCATGTGTTCTAGGGTTAACTCTTATTATTCTGATTTTATAAACATTGTGGTTGTTTAGTCAATTTATCCAATTTTGTGAATTCCTGTGATTGCAAAGTTACATAGATTCAATTCATGTGATTGTTTCTATAGATTCAATTCATGTGATTGTTTCTATTCCTTATTAGCCTTTCGCTGTATCAAATCTACTGAAAGCTTGCAAACCACCTACTGAAAGCACAAAGTCATTCAAGAGAAAAATCACAGAACCTTGATGCATAAAAGAGAATGAACAATGCTAATTTTCGCATGAAAAATGTGAAACAGATGCCAGTAAATTGGCATCGGTAAACAATGCCACTTCTCGGCTGCAATTGCAGCGAGAAAATACTTCAGTTTCTTGGTTTAAGTGGTTGAATCATTTCCAAAAGAGATGAGATCAATACAGCATCCACGATCTTATTGAAGGACAAGTTACAACGAAATTTTAGGCAGCATTCGTTTGAAATTGCTGTCATGCATGATCCCTATGATGTCTGGGCTGGTTATCATCCGCACTGTGGAGGACTAGCTATATACCTTATTTTCTCCTTTGATTCTGGTTAACAAACGTTGAAACATTAAACAAAATCCTACATTAGACCATATTAGAGCAAGAATTTTCACAATCAACAACCAAATGAGCTCCTTTTCATTAACTCAAAAGCATCATAATCAGATTAATCACTTACAACCCCAAATAAGAGGGCCACGAGAGGTAGGGGGAGCGAAAAAACCAGTTGTCAAAGAAATAAGGAATCTTACAAGATTTAATCTATAGCAATTCACACATATTCACAAGTACAAAACAATAGAAAGAGTACGCAAATATCCTAAACTATCACAAAGAAGCAAATTCCTTTAGTTACATAACCAACAGAGAAAAAGGAAGAAAATCAGTATATCAAATTCAATTTCACTTGTACATAGGAATAGAAGGCTTATTATAGAACTCCTGGTCTCTTCTGATATCTCAAACACTTAACTATTATAGTCAAATGGTAAATAGGAAGACCACATAAAGAACCAAAATGATCGGTTGTAGCATCCACAGCAATTAAGGCTAAACAAAATCTGTATTAGAAAGAGATTGGACAACCAAGAAACTGAAACTAGTGCAAACAAACAAATATATACTAATACAAAGTTAAAATAAGACAAAACAAAGCTGAAAGACACCCTCATTATTTGGAAATTCATCACGTCAAACATCTAATGCCTGCCATCCATTTCCTTGCCCACAGTACTCATTTATCTGAAACCGTTAAGACTAATCTTTGCGATAAGCAGCAGCTTTAATTTGGAGGCCAATTACCACTCCTTAAGTATGACCTAGCATAAACTGTTAAAAGATTCTAAGGTCTTAAATATTTAGAACTGCAAAAACTATTCAACAGTCAACTTGGAAGAGCTGTTCCATACCTGATCGACCAAAACTTCAAAAAATCTAAACTACACTACAAACCAAGTATGAGTTGAGAAATACTTCCATGAGATGAAGTTACATTGATGGTTGTGCATTAAATTTGGGTCGAAAGTGTTTCTCAGACACAAGGGTAACAGAAATGAAATTCGCACTATAGGTATATTAATAACAAAGTACCTGCTCTAGGCTTGAGAACTAAACCAATTTCCAAAATAATGCAAGCAAAAGAAAGAATGAAATGGGTGTGCCAAAACACCAATCAATGCAATATTTGCTGGCAAATTTTGGAGATGGACAGAAGAAGGATCAGGTGTACAGATTCAAGGCCAAAAGTGCTATGCCTGATCATTCCATGGATGAAGAATAAAAGTACATAAATGCATAAATACATAGACATAAACACATAAGCATATGCACATGCTAACATGCATACATTTCTACACATATATATTAGAATGGATTCATGGAACTCAGGGAACCACTGGACATTCGAATTCTTGGAAACTAAATCATTGAAGAATAGCAGAAGTTGAAAAGACTTGCAATATTTCAGACACTACAACCAGGAAGAAAAGCTTTGGCTTGGAAGGAGGCTTTGGTCAGCATAGCCCCCAGTACTATCCTTGTCAATTCCAAGGCTGGTTATGAATCCCACTGCTTTGATATCAGCTAAAGACTATATTTCATGTCGTTTGGTAAAGTTTCAATTATAAAGATAAACAAGGAGCCTTCAACAGTCTCCTGGCAAGCTTAGGATATTTCAACTCTGTTATCCGACCCAAGAAAACAAGTCAGATAACTCCAATAGATTCATGGCAGACAATATAGAGAACTAATACACCTAAGTAGTGTCCAACCAACAAGTAAACACTACAAGGTATATTATCATCATCTTCCACACGATAGCCGTAGACCAGTACTTAGATATACAGTCATAAACAGGCATCCACTCACGATTGTTTCCTAAAACACAAGCATCCATTTTGCCATTTAGTAATTAAAGGCTCATGGGCTAACTGCTAAAGAAAAAAAAATAACGACAACATTCCCAGAGATTATCAATGTGCCCCTAAGAGGGATACATTGACAGCCATCTGTCAACCTTCTTGAGATTATGGACCTTCATAACTTCAACAACATAGCTAAACCCTTTTCATGTCAAGCTATTTGAGAAAACTTGGGCCGCTATAATGGACAATGCCCCCGCATATTCAATTTCACCTCGACAGCAATCAAAACACTAAGTTCACAAGTAACAACGATAAAATTCATAAGGTCTAATGACAACAATCTACTTTGAGACCCAATTTAAGAATGTCACAAACAAATCGCAATACCCATCAACCATTACTGAATTTGAAGCCCTTGTTGTCCATACACAACAAATTTCCATGCAATGTAGTGGGCAATGAAAAAACAAACACGTCTACAGCCAAAAGAGCTAATCAATCCTAAAGTCTAAACAATTAAGAAGCAGATAACAAAAGGGCTTATTTTAAATCCACAAATTTCATAACTCGATAATATCAACTTCTTTTCTGATAATACCCAATTTCAATTAGCCACAAACAAACATAATTACCCACGAGAAATAGGAAACCCTCGATGTCCACACGCAATGATAGACGTGCGGTACAACTTAAAGTCATCCAAAACAACACAGATCCTAACAACAAAGTTCACGTTCGAATCGATTGACAAATCGAGACAAAACAGACTTATCTGATCAACCCAGCAATCAGTTCTGCGCCTTCAACCTCTCCAAGCGCTTGTTCAACTGATCAACCTTAACAACGAGCCCAGTAACCGAGTAGAGCAACCAGTAGAACACAAGAGCCGAAGCAATAAGAAGAGCGTTACGCTGGGACTTCATGATCGACTTTTCATGGCGGAGATGTTCCGAGGGAGAGCACGATTGAGATTCACACGAAGGGCGAGTCTCGTACTTCCAATAGATGTCCATGAGGAGGTAGAGACAAAAGGGTACGATCGAGAGGAAGGGTTTGAGGAGGCTGCGAGTGACGGTGATGAGTCCGTTGCGAAGTGCGTCCAGACCTGGGATGGTCAGGACGAGGAGCATGATCGCCTCTGCGCCAGCGGCGTAGCCTAGAACCACCCACTCTAACGCCATTGGTGTCACTGGAGGTCTCTCTCTGTGAGGAAAGGGTACGAAGCTTCTTCTTATGGGAGGAGATTTGAAGAGAGACAGAAAGAGAGGCGTGGAAAAAGGGTGGGGGTGATCTGTGAAGTGTGAAAGAAGAAAAGCAGATCCGAGTTTGGACCGGTTCTTTTGTAATGGCCGAACCGGGTCCGATGTAAAAGTTCATTGGGTTCGAGTCCCAACAACTATTTTGAATCAGATAAAATACATTTCCCAAAATATGCCTTTAATATTTATTTGGTCTTTAATATTTTAATTGTGTCTATTTAATCTTTAAAATTTCTAATTTGTATTTATGTGATCTAATTTCAAATGTCCGTAAAAAAATCATAACAATTCTAATCACGTGTCTATCATTAGTTCAAAATTTTGTGTCTATTTGATTCTAAAGTTTCTAATTTATATCTATTTAGTCTTACATAATTGGAGCTTGACTAAAGCCGTCAGCGATTTTTTTGACGAACGTTTAGAATTGGACTATATAGATATAAATTCAGAATATTAGAGACTAAATAGACGCAAATAAAATATTAAAGACTAAATAAACACTTCACATATATTTTAGGGACTAAAATTATATTTTATCCTTTTGAATTCAAGAAGGATGAATGTTAGGTGCAAAAAAGAATTGGGTCGTGACGGATTTGAATTGTGTTATCGGATATATTTTGATTATTATTCAATCTTTACTCAATTTAAATAATTAACCGTGTTAAAAAATTGCATACCGCTAATACCATATTATCGTCATATACAAATACGCATCTCAAACATGAATAATGGAGTCCATATATGCATGACGACGCAGTGAGAAGACATGACCTCCAAAATCCTGAAGGCCTGTTTGGTATGTGGGATAAGGGAGGAATTGAAAGATGGATTGAGAATAAAAGTTCACAAAATTTATCAACCCCTATTTGACAACTACATTTTTAACTTAAGTTATCAAACTCAGTCCGCTTTAGACCCATAATTTAAACCTATGTTCATAGATTTCATGAAACCCGATTGTTGGGGGTGGGGGTGGTTTATATGGGAGTTAAATAGTTGAACATACAAAATAACATGTATATCCCCATACAACTCATATATCCCAAATAATCAAATATTTATAACCCAAATAATTAAATATTAAATCATAAGGATACAAGAAAATGTACATATACAAACATGAATTTGAATTAGATTGGTTAAGGGATACAATAGTCATTTACATACAAATATATTATCATAATAGTGATATATCTGTACGCATACCAAACATGGGTATAGACGGGATTGAATGTTGAATCTCATCTTTATAAAGATGAGTTTATAGTTAGAAGGGTTTTAGCAAGTCAATTCAAACTCCTCTAAAAAAATTAACCAAATAGGCCCTGAAGGTCGAGATCTACGAACATAATGAACCTTTGGATTGGTTCCCAACTCGATGAATGAGGTCGTCACTCAAAGGCGGATTGAGCAGAACCATGGGCACTAGTTACAGAATTCACTTAGCTGGACCTCTTGGACCACGTTGCGCCCCTGGGAAGGAAAGCCGCTTCATTCCGATAGCAAGGGGAGAATGTTACTCCGACCATTATGGAGTAGCGAATTCCGGTAAACAGGGAGGAATTCGCTCCAACAACAGTGAATGTGGAGACGAGGTGTGACAACCTCACCCTTTTGTAAATATTAAAGACCTTTACCAAAAATGACATTTGTAAACCAATCATTCTCAACAAGCAATAAAATAATTTCTCCTCCCCAGAACAATAGACTTCATTCGAGTCGACTAGCTTACATTGATGAACCACTATAAAATTCGTCTATCCTTTAAATTTTTGATCAATTTGATATAGTCACTCACAAAAGCCTAAAGTTTATCGACTTGAACCATATACACGTTCGTTGAGGTTCTGTTTAACTTCTAGTCATAACATAATCGCATACTACTAACGTAGTGTATCTATCAATTATGTTGTGTTGATCGATACGCATAAACTATGTAATAAGACTTTCAAATTGGAATCTCATTCTCTCTCAATTAAACTAATAGCCAATGAATCCTTGTAAATTAAAATTTCATTCGATCTTAATGCTTACAAAACCTCCATAAAACAATATTCAAGTCATATAATACCATGTCTAGCAACATAAAAGACATTAAAAAACCAGACAGTTTTATATTATATCAAAAAATTTATTATGTCTAATTAGATTTATTTGTATTTAATACTAACTCAACACTTATGTTACCCATGTTAGCGGGGTAGATTCTTTTTGAATTCGTGTTGTGAACTAACTAACGTTACCTTCTTAATTATATATAGGGGTTCATATCACGTTAGCATATTGTCTTGTAATTTGTCAAACTTAAAAACGACAATAATTTTAAAAACAAGAATAACCTATATGATAAAATAAAAGCATTATGGTTGCATAAATTACAACGACGGTCCAAATTATTTCTTTTTCCCTTTTCCATCCACTATTTTATTTTGCCTTAACTCTCAAGCACAAGTAAATCAATGTTTTCCAAGCCAGCTTGAGGATTACATCAAACAAGATATGCATGTAAAGTTTTTCAAATGAATTAAAAGTGATAAGGACAGAATTTTAGATATGTGCCGCCATAACCTTGGAGCCCAATAAGCTCAGAAGAACCTTGCTTGTTTAATAGCACAAAGAAAGATCCCTCAGTTAGCCCACATCGAAGAGTAGAAAGAGACAAAAGGCAAAGCACTAGAGGATCAGCAGTCCAGCCCAGACCCAGTTCAATACCAATTAAAGAACAGCCTGGGAAAGAAAAGCCAAATCTTTGCCCTGATAGCATCCCGCCATGCCATGTGTCTAAAGGACAAGGGGATCATCTATGATGCCTATGAAAGTTACACCCTCCCGAACACAGAGAGTGGTGATGCGCGTAACGGTCCAGAGATCGTGGGCACAGTTGCGCTTAATAGCAGAGGTTGTTGCAGAACAGTGACAAAAGGTTCCACAGAATCAACAAAAAAGTTAAAAGAAATATTGCGAACCCTAGGAGGGACGACTCATATAAATAGAACAGTGTTATCCTACCAGGAGGATGAATCAATTATCTTCCCCACTACACTCCCTAGCCTGAGAGCCATAGCAAGCAAAGCACAAATCCTTGTAAAGGCCTAGCACCAATAATCTCATTGTATTCATCAGGATTCAATGAACAACCTTCAGGAGCAGGAGACTCCGAATACACTGGACGTAGCCCTAGTCTTTCGGCTAAGTCAAACCACTCACGTTCTTTGCATTCCATTTCTCATAGATTAACCTCTCACTCAATCACACTCACAGAACTCACCAGCATCTCA